TATTTTCCAAACTTGAAATACACAGTAGCCAAAATTTAAATAGCTTTGCAATGCTATTGATCTTTCAATCCGGTTATTTAGTATTTTCTTACTTGTCGTCGATATCTGTTTCAATCTTGTCAAACGTCATACAGTCCATCATTTTAGCTGTTTCAGAAGCATCACTTCTGAAAAAAAGCTACTATCAAAACTCATATCGTATTCCATTCTCAGTTTAAAAATCAGCTCTGCTTTAATTTCTCAATATCAAAATTTATTAAAATTTGCTTTTCCTGAACGATTAAAAAAGTAATGGACAATGATATTCTTATCAGGACATACATTTCTGTGTCATTTCTATCTAAATATGGATCTGATATTGTTATGTGAGTTTTTTTTTTGACTACTGCACCATTTGATCAGTGTTACTGATAATGCCATTCTAGGATATAATTAGAAAGCAATTTCTAGAATGAATTTCAAAAATATGATCACTAACCGTTGTGAATCTGGACATTTTGCTGTGAGATTTCCATGTGAGGAACTGAAAATTCCAATGATTGAATATTCTTTCGCTTCATTGTAAAAATTATCAAAAAATCTGTATGCCTACTCATTTCTTCTGCACATCATTTTCTGAATCTTATGATTTCCAAAGATTTGTATTTTAGGTAAGACTAATGATATCATCGTTTTATCGCTCTCCCTTTTCATGTTGCTCTCAAATTTCTCGTTTATAAATTAAAGCCTATTTTTGTGAAAAAAAAACAAAGGATTTTATAGATTTACCTTGTCGATTGCAAATCACAGCGTAGTAATGGATTTCGCACTCGTTTCATACATTTATCGTAAAAAATTTCGTTAGCTGATCGAGTTTTTCCAGTTTCGCCTAGCAATTTATGAGCTTTGATTCTTGACAATTTGGAATGTGGAATTAAAATCTCTTTCTCTTCATACCCTGTAAATACATTTCCATGCTCTTTTTTTCTTTTCCTTCGACATTCAATTATAATTTTGAAAGTTTTTTGCTTTATGAGAAATGAAAGTCAGTATGTTGATAACAAGCATGCTACTAACATGATAAGGAAGGAAATACATGATGCCATGGATACACAACTAACCTATATATCCAATATTGTTTATTACAAATCTTTTGTTAAAAATAAGACGGAAATTTTATTGCTTTGAAATAAGATTATATTTTTACTACATCAAATTCTTTTGGTGGAGAAAAAACAAAGATATCCCTGGTAGCAGAATAAATGTGATAGGAAATGCAAAAGTTAAATTTTTAAAAATTCGTCAACATATACGTAATTCCAAGGTGAAGGTGAAATAATTGGGCACAAACATAATTTTGTTAAAATGAGTGTTTCCAATGTTTGCACAACATTTGTAAAAGCAAAAGGCTTTTCGAACAATATATAAAGGTGACATTAAGACTAAAAAATTATCAAATTTGGCCATTTTTCTTCTTAATGGTATATATCTTAGCTGTTAAAAGTAATCTTACCTGTCACTATTCAAGTTAAAGGTTTCAAAGAACAATGTATCAGTACAGGTAATTTTATTCTTCAAATATCTCCCATTCTTGTTATATATCATCACTTCTTGCACAATGGAATCTTGTCCTTATTCAAGTTAAAGGTTCAACGAACAATGCACGTAGAAATTTTTGGAAGTCAAATAAATTTAGGCTGCGAAATGAAGTTTTCATTTTATATTCGTAACTGCATCCTCTAAGAATCAAAAAAATATTTGGTGCTGTAAAATATAACATTATATATTCATTCATTAATTGCCCGTCGGTAAAGACGTAAAATAATCACCCAATTCTCCAACGAATTTACATGTATTAATGAAATTGAAATTAGATGTAATAATATTGGAATTGAAATTAATTGTAATAATGCATTAAAAATCATCATTTTTCTCTCATCAAGCATTTAATTGTTATATTAATGCATGCATAATACATTTTTCCACCATCAACATTTTCCTATATTGATTTTGCAAAGTCAACTTGTTCATTAAGCTGTAATTTTGCATTTTAAATCTATTTTCCTGCATTTCCTTCAGCCAATTTGCAAAAAAGAGAGAAGGAAATGCGATCTTATGCTAAGTTATATGCAAATTTCGTTGACATATCGATGATAATAATAAAAGAATAATGACGGTAATAATGATAATAATAATAAAAAGAAAAAGAAGAAGAAAAATGTAAGAATCTTTGGGAAATGAAAAAAAGGAAAAATGTCAGATGGATGTAACGCATGCCATGAAATTCTGAATAAAATCTGACTTTTTGGAATTTCATAAGATATATCGTACTTCTGTTTTCTCATTATATTTTACTTTGTCTTATGACATCTTATCCAAATAAATATTAATGAAAAGTCCTTTTCAAAAAAAAATTTTTTTAGGATAAATGGAATAGTGTACTGCAAATGCAATATAAATGTCAGCTAAAACTAGAATAAATAGCGAAAAATATATGCATAAACATACCAACAGCTGCTTGTTGCACGGGTGATTTATCCAAAGTCAGATAACTTGAATTTAATTGTTGTTTATGATGTATATCGAAATCCGATCGAACTGCTTCACGGAAAGCTAAAATTTTTTGAAGATGTCGTGCATAATTTTCAACATTAAATTCAGATTTTCATAATTAATAAAGATTTTTAAGATTATAGAACATGAAATTTCGTTAAGACAATCTATACAAATTAATAATGTGTCAAGTACTAAAAAATTGAAAATCTTTTTAATTTGAAAACTATACCAATTTTTGTAAAAAATCAAAAAATATACAAATTAGTTTCGTATTTATAATTTTGCTAGAGCAAAAAAAATATCTTGGAAGCTTAATGCAATCAATAAACTAACATTTTGAGCCGTGATGGCTGTTATGTGGTTGTCTTTCTACAAGCATTTCACGTGCTTTTGCCGTAAACCCACGATGAGGTGACCTTTGACTATTGGATTCATCCGATGAATTTCCCGAGGTTTCCTGAAAAAAATGCACTTATGATCTGACACTAAATTTACTGTTTAGATATGGAGTGATAATAATCAAAACATTAAATAAATTAAACTAATTTTACAGAAAGTCTTTAAAAGTATGAGAGAGGAAGTAAGAGAATAAAAAGTAGTCGTAGATAAGTAAAAAAAGAAAGGACAAATACTGAACTTATTCAATGACCGAACTATTTCACAACAACAAAATGAATCTTGAAATTTTAGTAAAATTGATTTATTGATTGCGCATTTAAAAAAACAGTCAAAAGTGAATATACATCAACAAAAGAGTACATTTCCATATCAAGCCAACGTGCTAAGATTTCACCTGCTAGCATTTTGATATTTTCATATTTTCAATGGATTATAGAAATTAAGTGTCAATATTTTGTCAAACCAGTATCATTGATTGCATGATCTGAATATATTTAAAAATTGCTACATGGAAGAATATTTCCTAATAGAAAAATTTTTGAACTGAGTCGAAGCAAACCTTACAATCCAAATAAAAATCTCAAAGATAAAGTAATAGCAAAATAATTTAAATGAGGATAAGATATTAGTTAATTATTAGAACAAAACCTTAATTAAGTATAAGAAACGAATATTTAACAGCAAACTCACTGCCACAACTACAAATGGTGCTGGTGGTTCCAACAGCACTTCACGAGCTTTGACTGCAAAACCACGATGTCGTGCTAATCCTTCTTGCAAATCGACATCAGACATCTGCAAAAATAACTTTTGATAGGCGATGATTGGCCTCATAATACTTTTCCTCACTTATCGATTTATTATTTGGTATGAAGATCAAAAAGATAGCTTGTTTCAATTCTAGCATGTAATGCGATCCAGCTGTCAAATGATGAGTTTAGATCATTGAGAAACTCTGGGTAACAAACAGAATTCAAAGAAAATCGACTATGAATGACGCATTTTCACTCTACAAAATTTTAATTAGCATTTTGTAATAATGAAATTAAAAACGGATCAAACTGAATTTGTGTATCATTTATGCTATATGAAACTTATTTCGGACATTAACTGCATGCGATTTAAAAGGCAGAAATGGAATATTTATTTCATGGTATCCTCCCATAGAGGATTTAAAAATAATTTCAGAAGTAGGCCCTATCATTAACTTATTCTTCAGCATCATTTAGTGTGATGTCATTTCATCAAGAGTCAGCAATCATATTTCTGAAATTAATATTTGACTTCGTGCATTCAGGACAAAGGCCTAACACAATCACATTTATTTTGAGTTTATTAGTTTGCCGATCATCAATATCATAAGCAAATTATATGGGATAACTGAATGAAGCAATTAGGGAGATGTCTTGAAAAAGACGTGCGAATATACGGTAAGCAAAAGATGATGAGATTCTCAAACTCTCTGTTGAAGACAGCCTCTTTCTGGAAAATAGACAAAAGAATTGCGAACAAAGTAGGATTAAATGAATCGATGTTCCAATCGATAAAGTAAAGGCTTCTTTAGCTATTATTTTTAATAACCATCTTTATTAGTCTTAACTAACATAATAGCAAAAAAGTAAGTAGGAGTAAATTCTGAATGCTTATTGATATTAGATAAAATTGAAGTGATCAAATTCGCTTGATAATTCAATAGTCATGAACAAAAGCAACATATTCGACTTTCATTTACGTCTTTTGTCTAATTTGTTTTTCATAAAATTTAGAACACATAAGCAGTAAGGCATAAACAGTAATAATATAGGGGATGAATAGAGCTTTAGATGATACCAGACGTGTATGAACAAACCAATTGCATCTTTCATTGAGATTATGAAGTGTTAAGAAATAAGTACGGAAAATAGGAATAGAAACAGAAAATTGTCTTTCTAAAAGGGGACAGATTGGTCTTCTTCCATTTTCAGGGTTTGAAAATTAAGTTTATTAGAGAAATATGGAAAAAAAGAAGAAATGACTCGTTTATGGACGAGAAACGGGACAAGAAGAGATCGAGCATTATATATTAATAATTGCAGAGCAAAAGTTGGCTATTTAACATGGCTGAAAAGAAGGGAACATGAAATATACATGCATTGTTAGACTTGTGAAAATAAACAAACAGTGGGACTCGTGCTTACATGCATAATTCCCATGTCTACGTGCATAGATTTGATGGATGTAATTATATTCTCAGAAATTCATTTTACTTTTAAGCCTAAGTATGTTTGAGCTTATTAAAAAATGTACGACAATTACCACGGTGCAGTAGGACTTAACAAATACCAACAACAAATAAAATTATACGTCCGGTAATACTCTCTAGAAATTAGCCAAATTTACTTCTCAGCTTAGAAATTTGCTGATTAACTTATGTAACTTGTAATTACCTTCAAAAATTGTTAAGAATGTATGGTCGCACGATATCAGTTATATTTAGTTACGCTAATTAATTCATAAATTAACCAAGTCTACTTTCAGGCATTTTTTTAATGCTTTTAGTATGCTATTTTTTTTTTTTTTAAAAAGAGGTGATTTTGAATACTCTAACTGAATTTTGCCAAAAAGGAAGAAAATTTCAGTCTGACTCAACTAGTTTTAAAATCGATCGAGTTTTCCGCAATTATTCTTTCCAATGCTTCATTGTGCGTCATTCAATTATTAAATTTTTTTATTAATATTGCTTTATTGGAAGAAGCATTAATGGACTTAAAGTTTCATCAGTACAAATCATTCGTGCAGTCTGGTCCGAGTTCCTCATTACCAAAAAAGCTAAGAAAATTAGAATGTTATCAATAAGTGAAAGGATGGATTACAATTCTATAAAGAAAACAACTAATGATGATTACTTACTTTTACAATGAACAAATTATTTTCTCAACAGTCCTAAGTTTTAGGTCATCATATCATGAAGAAATGGAATTATGGTTAAACAGCAAATGTCAAAGAATTGAAGATTTTATGAAATTAAGGAAAGGACACACAGATGGTAATGTAAATGATGGAAGAACGAATTAATCATTCAGGAATAGAAGAAAGAGGTGAAAGAAAAGGTATTAAAGTAAATTTAGGTAAACCACAGAAATTAATTTAAGTAAACTGGAGGTAAGAAAACGGAACACAGTTGAATTGAATGAATTATATTACAACGAATGAATTGTGCCGATAATTGTACCATACATACACTACTTTATAGAAATGAAAAGAGAAAAAAATGGATAAAGCAAATTTTATAGTTTTTGGTCCAAGAAAGGAAGAAAGCGCAACTTTTCAGTTTTATAAAAAAAAAAACGGAAGGAGACAAATGAGATCTCTTAGTGTTCTGAAAGGCTAAAAAGGAATTTTTTTTCTCTGTTCTCAATAACTGCACTAATTTAAAAATTTTCCATTAGCATCACTTTAGCGTACCATGAACAAATAGGAAAGTCCGTTTTTTTTGGAAATAATCCCCTGAATTGCTTCTCTTTCTGCCCTCTCTCTCTTTCTTCTTTCTTACTTTCCAAATGACCTTCACTAATTTCAGTTGAAAACAGCTATGTTGGCCACTCAGTTTGGTAATTTATCTAAAGTGGGAGTTTACTTAACGAATTCAAGACAGATAAGAATTAAAATAAATCGATATTTCAAAAAATCAATAATCAAATAATGTATAAACTTCCATTTTCATTCAATAAAAATTTTCTTCCCTTCCATTTTGTTTATTCTTCATTTAAATTTAATGGAATTCGGTGTTCCAAAATATGGGTTAATTGTTTACTTCTCTTTAGCGTCTTGAAGGAGATGCTATTCTTTCACTACACAAAATAATAAATAAAAGCAGAGGGAAATATTAATTAACTACTTAACGATCATAATAAATTGGTAGTGAAGTGTGATATAATTTGTTCTCCGTGAATGAGTGGAAACAATACAATCTTACTTTAACTATTCCACAATAGCTTAATGTTAGCTGTTTATTAACAGCACAAATGAGCCATGGAAAACTTAATGTACACAACTAATATATGTGTTCTTAAATTTTAAAATAATTGTATTAGACGCATAAATAAAAAAGAAGGTCACAATTTTCCACAGACATTACTCAAAAAAAGGATTTTTTTTGCAAATCAAAATTATCGTTACTATTATAACCAAACATTACTTGTTTTTATTTTAAACTTGTAGTGTGATGAATTTAAAGCTTTAATTGTAGCCTATAATAAAAGTAAAAATTTCGGTTATAAAATGTGTGAAAAGTCCGGATTATGAAATATTCAGCTTTAATGACTGCAGCTATTTTTCTTAATTATATAAACCTCAAAAATAAAAAAGCATTATTATGATTCTTCGAAAAGAGCTATATTGTTTGTTGTCAAGTGTTTATTCGAATTACTCGACTTCAGTGGTTGCAACTATTTTATAAACAATCAAAAATAATATAAATGATAAGCAAGAAAAAAATTATGCAACGGAGAGGACGATCTGGTCAATGCACAGTCGGATGATTTCAATCTTTATCATTCACCATGCCGAATAACAAAAAATTACTTATAATTTTACCTCAGCAATCATGAAGTTGATATTATAGAAGAAAAAGTGGAAGGATAATATATTCTTCCGCTTATCTGTCGGGAAAATATCCCACTGATTTCCAATTAGGCGATGAATTGGAGAAGTTAGATATGAGTTCTAAGTTAAAAAATTTGATAAAACGCGACACTGACGCGTTTTAGTTATTCATTTGGTAGTTGTACTAACTGCTACTGATTTTCTTCTTGCAAATGACAGCTGATACTTTATCAGGAAGATTAAATTTATTTAATCTAATAAATTTAATTCAACTTTCTTTGATCTCACTTTCAGGAATGAAACTATGTGAAAGGTTAGTTCCTTTCAGTTATAATTCGAACTGTAATTAAGCGACCATAATGAAGTATATTAAGAATGTTCAGGCCAATCTTGCTTGGATCACTCTATTTTGGCTCATCGTATAACATTAACATTAAGGCCTGTAACTAAAAAGTTTGTTGAATCCCAAATGTCCTCATTTTCACTTCTTTCATTCATTAGTGAAAATATATGCAAGAAAAAGAGCTATCTGAAAAGGGACAGCAACGGATGGAAGGGAAAGAAATGGATTTTAATGACAGCTGTAACCTCAGGGCAATATTGTAACCCGCTTATTTATAATAATCAGAAAATAAAAAAGTGACAAAAATAGATTTCTTAGAACAAATTGAAATAAAAGTAAAAATTAAATGAAATTAATTCAAATGATATTAAATTAATCCGCTTAAGATAACAGAAAAAATTTCATTTTTTTTCTGGTGCTAAATTTTAGAACTTTTTCAGGTAGAAAAACCAGATTTAAATTCTCGCTTATGTCAGATTTTTTACGAGTATTTCAATTTTAGCTCAAAGCAACGTTCAGAATGCCTCTCAGGCAATCATGTTGAGTTCCTTCATTAAATTAGATTTGTATTTAAATTCAATTATCCTGTCGATATCGACTCGCGAATTATATCGTTACATCGATCTTTCAAAAATTCAAAGCTAAGAATTTATACTTAATTAATGGAATATGATTGTTTGAACCTCTTTTTTTATTGTAAATCGCTAAGTCGTCCAGAGATTTTCCCGGATTTCTCTCCTTTATTTGAATTTTATATTAAAAGATATGATAATACAAATATTCTGGGAAATATTTGCGTAAGCATCCTTATTTTTATCTTTATTAAACTTGAAAGATTAAATTATAGGATGCATATTTCAAGTTATGATAGGCTCAAAAGATGAAGAATCAATGAATAATACAAGATTTAATTGTGAATAAAAAAAAAGACTACTACTCGCTAATGCTTATATGTGATGAAGAAATTAAATAAATTATCAATTTAGCTAATGGGATTTCAAAGAAAATTTGATATTAATCATGCAAATATTGTGATGAGGTCAAATTAAAAACAAACAAATTGGCAAGCTCTTTGCTAGCTCCTGAAAATTTGTTTTTGCTAAAGTTTGAAGAAGTATTATAATATTTGAAGAGAGTATTATTGAAGAAGCATTATAGAAGTATGTTAGTGAAAAATATTTTCAGCTATTGATCTTACTGCTTCGAGTAACATCTTTACTCCTCAATTAAAATGCGTTCTGAAAGGCTCCGGAGGTCATCATTTGACAACATTGACATTGCCTGATCATATTTTATCATTACAGATGGAAGAATATTGTATCAACAGTTAGCCTTTGCAAATTCAATCATCTTTTGCCTATATTTTCAAAATTCTTAAATGAGATTCTCGAAAAAATTCAAATTTATAGTTGCCAAACTTTTTTTCAGAGACGAATAGAAATAACATTTGAATACAAAAGATTTCATTAGAACAGAATCTATCAATCTGGCATTTTTTGCAAAAGTGGCAAATTGATAGGAAAAAACAAATGAAGAGACGTGAAGAAGTGAATACATGAAAATAATAAACGTGAACAAACAATAAAATCTAAATGGAAACTTCAACGCATTTTAATAGTATTATTTACTATGTTAGAAACCATCAGTTCCACTTCAAAAATAAAAAATGAAGTGAAGAGTATTAGGAATGATATATTAATAAATGAGAATTTATATTTTAATTTGTTTCACCCTACTTCCTCTTGATTATGTGTAATGACAAAATATTGATTTTATATTACTGTCTAATTAAGTTTCTCTTTTGTTTCTACACTGTCTTACTAATGAATAGAGTGTACAAGAGACAAAATTTTTGTACTTGGTGTGCTACTCTGTTTGACGCAAAATTTTTTACATCCATATGGACTTGGTTAATCACTTAATTGATATAGTAATTTTATTAATATTTTATTTTTCTATAGTAAAACAGAGGAGGATAAATAACCGAAATTTGGTAGTAAATATACTAATATATTTGCAAAAATTGTGATATCAATTTTTATGTAAGCGGAATGAATTGACGACGAGGGATTAATGATAATTATTTAATTTAAAATTAATTCTAATGTTTGTTAAGCTCTGTTTATTAAGCCTTTCAGAGCTTAAAAGCAAGCCAAAAAAGAAATAATTTGAAATTTCTAAAAATAAATATTTTTATTGCGCTCATGCTCATACCCGCTTGGAAAAGAAGTGACGATTTCTGAAATTTAAGTTTCAAAAATATTCACATAAGAATTACTGAAGTATATAGATATGCAAAAAGAAAATATGCTAAATTGTGATTTATATGGAATATACAATGCATAACGTTGAAGTGAATTTCAATTCAGCTACATTTCAAGTGAATTGTGGTTCAAAATATTCATAATTTTTCAAAAGTTCTTGAAGAAGTTGGCCGTGCTCTGTTGCATAGGTAATGGCATGTAGAATAGGCAAGAAAGGCACGATGATAGGATGATTCTTTAGTTTTGCATTCATTTGCATCGAATTTTTACTCATTTCATCACTTACACCTATAACGTTTAAAAAAGTATGAAAGTATGAAGAATTAGAATGAATTTCAATCAATTTTCCCTTTATATCTATTTTCCTTTGATTAATTCCGATCTACATGCTACAGTATACGGATAAGATTTTTAATGGAATGTTATGAACTACTAATATTTTTTCGTCTCGTAATGTTTAGATGATGGCTTAGCTGTCAGTTGAATAAATTTTCATTCTATGAAACGGATGTTCAGGTGAAAGAAATAGTCGGAAGAGTAGATCGAGAATCATTTAACACTCTTGTTTGTTCTGAAAAACGGAGCTAACAAAAACACGATCTCATAAATTTTACCCTCCACTTGAGTGAGATCTTCCGGTGAATAAAGATCGAATGAAACTGGTTTTACTATCGTTGGCAACAATTCCACTTTGCAATTCTCGTTCAGTTCCCCTGTTGTACTTGGAGAAATTGTCACATCTTGTCCGCAGTAACAATACGAGTCAATCTAATTATTTAATCCATTACTTATAAAATTAATAAGTGGCTATTTAGACCTAAGTGTCACATATCAGTAAGGGCCAGGTAAATTTGATAATGGAAGAATGTCATGTTGGCCAATGTTGTCAGCATTTCATAATGTTGCAACTCTAAGAGAATATATCTTACCGGAATCATCTCTGTAGGTGAAGAAGCCTCTTCAGGTATGGGCAATTTTGTTACACCGACAGATTCTACTGATTTGCTCTGTAATGAATGAAAATATTTTTAATCATAATCTGAAAAAATTAACTTCTGACGACCCTTTTGTTATATCCTTTCTCACTTATTTTAATTCTTTAAATTAAAACACAAGACATAAAAAAGGCAAAGCTCAGGCAATAAAATACAAAGGTCAAAAAAACCTTGTCAGATCTTTCGGCTGTAGATAATTTTATTGGTGATAATTTTTTTGCGTCTGACGCTAACATCTATAAATAAAAATAGATCATACATATTTTACGGCATATCAAGATGTTGAAATTCGAAAATACTAGCAAAAGAAATTTTTTATCTGATATTATTAGCATCCATCACTGTCAGAGAGATGTACGAGAGTTCGGGAAGGTAAGGGACGAAAGAAACCTTTGGCAAATGTCCAGAAAGGAGAGACAATATCACACGACTTGAATTTATATTCATAAATCATTGGCAATATCATATTCATAATCAGGTGCCATCAGATATGTAATTGTAAAAGATTATAAAATATGTTACACTACCTTCTTATCTTGTAATCCTTCTGACTTCTCTGATGACAGTAGTACTTTTGGCTGAAAATTTAAACAAAAATTTTAAATCGACATTCTGGTCATCTTTTCATAAAATTCGAATTTCTTAAAATGTTATTTAATCTTAAAAACTTTACTCAAACCATCAAGCTAACTACGCTATGGCTTTCAATAGCAACACCGTACGATGGACATTAGCCTTTCAGAATTTATTATGCCATTTCATCATTTTGACCATTTCAATCCACTAACTATTGATAGTAGCTTACATACAAGTCTCATAATGCTTACCAATTCTTTATGCTTCCAGATAATTGCAGGTGGATAATTTTCGCTCGAATATTGGATCCTCCCCTTTTCCTGTATTAATTCAATTATTTAAAAATTGGTAAAATCATTACAAAAATTATTTCAACATCTTGAATGTATTTAGCATCATTACTAAACATAAACAAGAAATTTTTTGAAATTACCGCCAAAAAAGCTGGTGAAGCGCTGCCTTCTAATGTTTCCACATAACTGCTAAAATTAATGAGTATTAATTAGCATGAATAAAAACTAGATGCATAAATTTCATATCAGCACTGATTTGTTGTTAGAATACACAATTGGTAATGTTACTGAAACGTCAAAACAAAGAAAAAACCAACGATGGCGAATAATCTCTGATTTTTTTTGATACACTGGATATATCCTAAAAAAAATGACTGCTGAATAAGAAATTAAAAAACTCAAATGCAGCTGCAGGATGATAACGATTTTGAAAAATCTTATCATTAAAACAATGACGCGATGAAACCTGAAAACATGTCCCAGAAATATTAGGATTCTTAAAGACAACTATATTCACTTTCTTTTCATTTTACCTCTTATCCTTGCTTAATTTATTTAATAATTCAACCTTTCCATCATTTTTCCTGTTTTACAATTATGATTATTATTATTTTTTATTAATTCTGAATTAAACGGATAAGTGCATAAATTAATACTTAAATAAAAGAACTACATATTATCGAGGTCATTTGCTAAATCTCAAATAAACATTGAAAGGAAAATTAATTGAAAGAATTCAAATTAAGGAAAGATGAAATGAACAAAATCTAAATGTCAAGTGTGATGCAAATATTTTAGTGAAAGGAAAATGAGGAGATGAAAATTTTGTAGCATTATCGTTTACTATTGTTTTATAAATAAATTTTAAAATTTTAAAACCATTCATTTTCTTTTGATATTTAAACGAACCTGTTTCGTCAAGCTATCGCTAGAAGTTTCATCGGAAGTAGCATATTTCGTTTTTACTGAATCAATGGATTTTTTTCTAAATGAAAAAAAAAATTGAAGCAATGATTTAAAAATATTCATGTTACACTGTAAATCTCTTCTACTTTTGAATTGCCAACCCGATGATACTTCAACTATAAACTTTGTGACAATAATTGAAAACCTTTATGAATAACATTCTCATCAACTTTCTTATTAGATATCAAAAATTCTTGTCATCCAAAGTGCCATGTCAGCTTCTCAACTGATAAGTTGTCACTTACGTATGTAGGACAGGTTTTGATGATATCACACGTCGTGGTGTTTGAATTCGTCCTCTCTTTTTCGATAGTGACCGTTCTGCTGATTTTGTTTGTTTCTTCGAACTTGGCTCTTTACGGCTTCTTTCAAAGGTGTAATCGAATAGCTGGAAGAAGTAAGGATTCAAAGGATTTCCGAAATTTTCTTAACTTACATAATGATAAATGTTGCTCCCCTACATCCGCGAGAACTTCCATGTTTTCTGCTTTATTTTTAAAGTGTTTCTGAAGTAAACATAAAATCAGCTGTTATTAATTAACAAAGATATTCAAGAAAATCTAATTTGAAATTCTGTCGAAATATCCAAACTGACCTTGTTCTTCCACAATCATTAATAAATTTTGGATACATTAGCTATTTCGTAATGTAGATTTAAACAAATAAGCAAAAATAATACTTTAAATGAAGCACCTTTTTCTTGCGGAAATAATACAATAGCATTAAACTAGCAGCAATGGTGACGCATCCTCCGATAACGAATTTTATCACTATATTGTTTTTCATTGTTTAGCTTTGCTTAAACAACCATTTTTAAACAAACTGTAACAAAAATAATTCATCCCTTTTTACTTTCTTCTATTCCAATGAATTATAAAATCAAAATTTATACATAATATAATAACCCCCTGAGTTATTCCTTTCTTCTACCTCTTTAAAATATTAAAATATTTCATCCAGCAATGAAAAAAAATTCCAGATTTCGTGGAGATTTTTACTTTAATTGCATTGTTATGAAGAATACAAATTTTTTTCATTTCTACAACATTTTTCTAAAATTTTTTGTAAATTTACTTCCAAATTTATGATTGAAAAAGTCATCGAAAGAAGAACTATAAGCTTATTCAAAATATAGTTCTAACAGTAAGTAACAAAAACATCTTAGACAATCTCACTGCATAATGTGCAAAAGATCAGATGGAAAGCGATCACCCCGCTGGAATAATATGAACCGATCGACAAAGGGTTCAATGAAAAATAATGTATTTCCAGCTGGCAGACTATTTTAACCGGTTGTTATAATTGCTTAATTTGTTTTTTTATAATATTTCACTTAACATAATTTACATAATTTAAGATATATTAAGATAGCATGTATCTTTCTGCATCTAATATAATCTTATAACTTTTTTAGAGCATATTCAGACAATTCTCATTACCTCAATTTCGAAGGACAAATTGGAGTACTTGCAATTTATCATCTCTGATAGTTCTTCCATCCATCTTTGCTATTTTAGGTCTAACTTGAGGCAAATGATTTTTGCTGATCAATTTCTTCACTAAGAGAAAAGAGAAAAAAATGACAGATATGACTTATACCTTTTTGCATCACAAATTGAATTTTGTCGGACCGACAAAATTCAATGTTCACCCTTCCGTTCCATTTTCCTCTTTTTTATATTTAAATTCCGCTTTCCATATAGATGAAAGATGAGATTACAATGATTATTAAGAATGAAGGAAACTAACAATACTTTCCGATGTTTTTTCAGGTAAAACATTTCTCGTGCGATAGGGTGCACTTATTATTTACTGAAATTTTTTTGTAGCATCCTCCAAAACGATTCTAACATAACTCTTCAATATAACTGATGCCTTTACTGCTTGAAGGCTTCCAAATTCTTCCGTCTCTTCTTCAACTTAATGAATACAATTATTTAGCTAAGCTCAAATACAATGTTTCTTCTATCAGTTCCTTCCTAACAATACTGTGTAGTTTTGCAAAAATAAGAAACTCATTATTTGTAATCGCGTGACTATAGCGTCACCTTACGTGAATAAACGGATCTGACCACATTTGCTGGACAAAGATAACATAACAAATGCACTGACCTCATCCACATAATGATCTAACGCAGCTGAGAAACAAATCGTTCGTAAAAAAATGATGCGGCCGTGTGAAGTATGACGCTTTTCGGGAACTTTTTTCCAATTTTGTATTTGACTGAGAGTATGAGAATAGGCTTGTCCTCCATTTAGGTACAAGAATACAAGACATAACGATGAGCAGATTTGGTACTTTTTCATTTTTAGGTTGGTTTCCATCCTGCATTTTCTAATCTTCATATTTCAAAAATTCTTCTAGGCAAATGATAGTGTAAAATTGGCTAGATTGGGGCTATTCATGTTTGAAGCTTATTTAAGGAGAAATCTTTAATTTTTTTGTGTTTAATTTTTTTTGGGATTTTTTTTTGTGGGATAGATCGAGATGTCATTAAAAATTCTCAGATATTTTGTGGATTTTGGTCTTTAGATGTTTTTTGACGTGGGATATAAAATGAATGACTAATTTTTGATGTTGAATAGTAATAATACAGGAAGGATGGCAAACGTGAAAAAATGGAGCGATGCGACAACAGCTGCTGAATTGACAAAATCGAGCAATCCGCTTGCCAAGCTTATTGCTATTGACAAAGGCGACATCACCAAGTTGGAAATTGATGCTATCGTTAACGCTGCTAACAGCTCACTTCTGGGTGGTATTTGTTTTTTTCCCAAAACTATTCAAATTAGCTTCGTTTGAAATTTTCCGATTTTTATTTTATTTAAGGTGGCGGTGTTGATGGAGCTATTCACCGTGCGGCAGGTCGACGTCTGTATGATGAATGTAAGAAATTGAAAGGTTGCAAAGTTGGAGAGGCTAAAATAACAGGAGCTTATGACATGAAGCATATTAAACGTATGTTTTCAGAATGGATTTCCATTTGTGTCATTTTAAAATCATTTATTGTATGTTGAGCTTTGTTTTCAGATGTAATACATACAGTGGGGCCCCAAGTTCACTCTAAAGTTACCGAAGAACAGCGGAATCTGTTGAAATCTTGCTACATTGAATCCCTCAATATTGCCATTGCAAATAATTTGAGGACTATTGTAAGTAATTTGCATTTGGAAGGATTGAAAAACCATTTAGAAGTTTTATGGATAATTCCTTTGTCTTTATTGAATCTGTAATATTCAGAATGGGAAACTTCAGGCATTCCCATGTATTTCGACAGGCGTATATGGTTATCCAAATGATGATGCGTGTAACGTTGTTGTCACTTCGGTTTTAGCATGGTTGCACGAAAATAAAGACAGAGTAAGGTTTTTTTCAGTTTATCCGAATTTTGTGAAATTTCTTTTAACGTTATAAACGATGCCATGCTCAAATCTATCAAAAATGATAATACTATATTGATTAAGTTTAGATTGATAGAATAATTTTCGTCACATTTTTGGACAAGGATTACGATTTGTACGAGAAATGTCTGAAAGAAAGATTGACTTAAATATAAAACGAAATGTTTGTGTATGGATTTGTTTTTTTTCTGTTTCTGACAATAAGGTTATAGACAGGACTGTAAATTTTGCTTTTTTAACGATTTTTCCCTGATGTAAATGTAGATGAATACTTTGAAAAATATTCTCTTTCACTAACAGTAGTATGATGGTAAATTTTTCTACATATGTTAAGAAATTTCTGTCTCATAACTATGAAGCATAAATTTTACGATTTTTAACGTATTTTATTAAAAATTGAAGGATTAGAAAGTATTATAATAGTAGTTACATCCCAGTGATGACGCGATTGTGTTCCCATCTGCGACTGGAATAAATTTTATGGCACTTCGCAAGTATGATGTGCTTAGAGAAAATAAATGAGAAGGTTATTTTGATTTTGATTTCATACAGAATAATCTAATTTGTTGGAATACAGAATTAGTTTATTGTGAGACACATTAAAATTTCATGGGATTTTTTGCAATATCTGATTTTATGTTAAATACTAAAAATCTATGTATATTTATGTTGCAGCGTAACAGACTAAACGTCATTTTTCAGTTTAGCATGTTGTGTTGTATTTCATGCTATTTAAAGTTCTTGTATTTGTAGTAGTGAATAAGAATTGTGTGGGGAAAAAGATATAAAGTTTTTATAAGTCGAAGGTTATTCGTGATATTGCTATTAATAAACATAGCTATTTGCAAAGCATGTTGTTACGTTCTGTACTGTTGTATACAAAATTTGTTTATTCCATTAATAAAAGTGAATAAGAAGCGTTTCGTTATTTTTTCAAAGAGCAGTCGCAGCTGTTCTAATAATCTACTTCCGGTGTTTTTCGAAGTTCACTGTCGATTAAAGAAAAAAAAACATTGTATTTTTGCAGCTGGTTTTCATGGAAAGTTAACGTTTCTGATGTTGTAGAAAATTAGAAAATAATGAGAAGTTTAATGTCTCTTCTTTATTTTTTTAGATACGGTGACATTATTTTTAATGGCAGATCAAATTGTTAATTTGAATGTTGGTGGGCAGAGGTTTGCAACTTCACGGCAGACATTGACATGGATACCGGATACATTCTTTACAAGGTTGGTTACCTTCATAGACCGTGAAAACTTGAATCCGGATAAAATAAATCAGAAAGGACATTGGAGAGGTTCCATGATAGTTCGGGCTAAGGCTAAATGGCTGCAAGTTACCATGATAATTGATTTGATTTCATAATTCATGAAGTGCAATTTGTAACATATTTACTAAGATTTCCCATACAAAATGTTTCAGCTTGTTGAGTGGACGAATTCCTACTGTACACGATGAAACAAATGCGGTAAATTTCTTTGTTCTTAGTGATGAATTCTTAATCTGATTTGAATGTAATAACCTCCATCTTTGCCTGTACTTTTGACTTATTGAACCACGCTTGAAATTAACTTGAATATTAATGCCATTATTTTTGGTCCTGCCGAAAGAGGATTTTTCTTTATTGTTTACCATCCTTTTTATTGATACTGGTCGTACATTGATATTTTTGGAAAATGCGTGTTGCAAATGTTTTATTACTTTAGTAGTTCCAGGTCTTTATTGATCGAGATCCAGGAATGTTTCGAGTAATTTTAAATTATCTGCGGACGAAGCAAATTGACTTAAAGTAAAATTAATCTCTCTAATAATTTCTTTGATATTCTCTTTAATTTATCGGTTATCTGCACTTATTTCTTTGCATTATTATCTCTACCAAATGTATTTTATAGCGGAGTGAGTTTGATGAATTTAAAACATGAAGCACAATATTATGGTTTGGGACCTCTAGTGAAACGGTTAACTTTGTGTGAAGAATTAGACGAATGTGCTTGTGGCGATATACTTTTTAATGCCTACTTACCTCCGCCTGCATTACCCTTAAACGAAGGTATATTTTGATAATGATGATTAATTAAAATGAAATAATTTTGAAGTTTTTTTTTCTGAAAATTCATTCATTCGTTATTTTAGACATTATTTTGAGTTTCAAAGACTACTTAACAAAATCATGCTTCTAAGGTTATTCATCATCATCACCAAGTTCTACAAGAAACAACCGGAATATGCCCAACACGTCATCTAATTCACGTGGCTTAGTTTCGGTTCCCTTTCCTTCTCTTCATTCTCGCAATTTAAGTGAACATGCAGCGACTGCAGTTGAAATGGCATTCAGTAGTTCTTCATTTAAAGCATCACAACAGCCACGTTTGCTTCCAAGCATGGAAGCTAAATTTCAGGTGAGGATCAGAATTGTGTGAATAAAACTTATAACCCATCCATTTTAATTAATGGACTTTGATTAATGCATAAGTGTGAAAGAAATAGCAGGACCGAAGGAGTCTCTTTGGTGTTTTGTAGGAACATTGCATATTTTCCTATTAATATATTTTAGGAATGGAAAATGAAAACGTGTGCCGAAAATTTATTTCAGGTGCCACATGCTGTGGAAGTACTGGTCAACAAGACTGTAAAAGGCAACCCAAGTTTGCCAGTGAGGCAGCTACCATCTGCTGAAAGTCATGCGTCGTTTGCAAGTGAAGGTAAACCCTGACTGTTTTTGTAGTGCTCTCATTTCAAACACATTTTGAATTCCTAGATCCAAATTTCCAGAAAAATCGGACACAGCAAGCTTATCAGTGGAAAGTAGCAGCACGTCAGGGACTATGCTACAACATTTTGCTTCACATCTCCCAACAGTTAGCTCGGATTTTATGGTATATCTCGAATTTTTCCTTAGCTTGCTTAGTTTTCCAGAAACAATTTTAGAATACATGATGCATAAAATATTACAGCCCAATTCTTAAATATCTTTTCGTCACGATCTTTCCGAATCGTAATTTGAATAATGAAATATTTTACGGTAGTTTTTAATTATGTTAGAATTTTGAAGAGACAAATTGTAAGACGTTTTAACAACAATTTGACGAATGATTTCTAAAGAATAATTATTTCAGAGTGCATACAATTTTTGTAATAACTCTTCTAAAAATTACCAAAGCCACATGAAAAAGAGTTCGTTTGAATTGACTCGTCAGGTAATGATTTAATTTGACTTGGCTTTTGTGACACGCAGCAGGTCCTTCATCATATTTATTTACACTATTTTATGACGCAGAATCTCACTAGTTAACTTTACTACCGAATTCTGTTCTAATATTTCTATTTGTTTGTTTTATCAATATCGTTTATAACTGTTGCGTAAAATAAATGATTCTGTGTAGAACTAAAGCTAGTTTTATTGAAAGAAGTACAATGCAGTGCTGCAAATTTCAAACCACGTGGTTTGAAAATATTGAAATGGATGATGCCGAACGGAAGTTTTGTCTATATTAACTTATCTTTTCAATTTAATTTCAGCTGAAAGGTGAGTTGTCATTACTGATGCGTTACTCTGCGCGATTGTCTGATCAATTATCAGAACCGTTACGAGTTCGAGTGATTAGAGCACATTATAATGCGGTTGCTGTTGGCTATGCAAATTTTGTGTGTTGTTATAGGTAACTGTTTTTTCATTAATCTTTTCAGTGACATTGTTTGAGATAAACCGTTCAATTCATAATGATTATCTATTTGGAAATAGAAAGATTTTTGCATGTACCTGAAAGAAAAATTATTATTAAGAGAAGGTTGTCTACTGCTTCAAATTTGCAACTATTTTATCAATAAAAGAAAGCAACTAAAAAATTTTTTCAATCTTATTATCACACACAGAATGAAAGAAAGTTTGGGTTGGCAACAGCTGTATATATCGCCACATATGGATGCTGTTGTTCGTCACGTAGCCTTGTATGCAAAATTTGGAGAAAAAATGTTGGCTGTTTCATTAGCTAATAATACTATACATCTGTGGAATATTTCCGAAGGAGATGCGAATTTTGGAACCAAAATTGGTAGAAATTTTCTTTTTTTCAGTTCTTCTTTCGGTTTTCTATTTTTGATATCAAACAAAAACTAGCAAAAAAGTGAGAATTTTAAGTTCAAAGTTCAAATTCTTAAATGTGGATGATTATAAAATTTACGATACAGCGATATTTAGACACATTTGTTTGCAGGAACATTCACTCTGTTGGTTGCTGTTGATAAGTTGTTCTTTATCGGGAGCCAGTTGGTAGCACTGAGTAAGATTGGCAAAGTTGGAATCTGGCATTCAATGACACATAATTGGCAAGTTCAAGGTCAGTAAATGTTCTTGTGCTGTGACTGGAGGGTTAAGAAATATCAGTGATAAATCATGGTTTTATGCTGTTGTCAAAAAACACGAAGTTTGTTTTGATCAAGCATTCACAGTGACGTAATTTTGCATATTTACGTATTTTTTTAAAGTCCTTTGGGAATCATAGTGCTTCCCTCATCGTAGATGTCGTCGCCATATCGTGTTATGATACAGCCGGGTCATTTTTGCTCCTTGGGTGCACTAATGGATCCATATATTATATCGATATGCAGAAATTTCCTTTACGTATGAAAGATAACGATTTGCTGATTACGGAACTTTATCGAGATCCAAACGCCGATGTTATCACTGCTATAAGTGTTTATCTGACGCCGAAAACAAGTATGTTTTTGCACATTTCAACTGATCAGAATTTCGGAGTCGTAATTTCACTTTCTTGTTACACGAGTGTCAATTTTCCAGATCTCCGTGGAAATTGGATTGAAATTGCTTATGGAACTTCAAGTGGTAGCGTTCGAGTGATTGTGCAACATCCAGAAACAGTCGGTCATGGTCCACAGTTGTTCCAAACTTATACCGTCCATACATCTCCAGTTACACGAGTTGCTCTTACAACCAACCATCTTATCAGCGGTGAGGATGAAATTAAGCATTAATTTTGCTACTGGATGAAGCAAAAATTGAGTCAATAAACTCAGTTTTTAGTTCGTCCACTCGAGAAAATATTTTTTCAGTCAAATATAGGATAAAATTGAATTCTGTGTTTTCCTATTATTTATGTAAAAGTCTTACTTTTTCTAGTATGCAGTGAATATAATCATGTGCGTTCCTGGAGTGTAACGCGTTTTCGTGGCATGATTTCGACGCAACCAGGGAGTATATCTTTAGCATCTTTCAAGGTAGTTACTCTCGACAGCACTGATGATATACTTGATGCAGACGGAAACGACCCAGGTATCGTTTTAATAATTTAAATAAGTTTAAATATTTGACATGTCCTCTAACATTTTCACATTTTTTCAGACTTGCTAGAGCAGCACAATTTTCTTGTATTTCAGGGCCATTTGGTGATCAAGATGGTGAGCAAATTTTTGTTCAACGAGTTGTACCTGGTAGCAGTCAAGTTTTTGTAAGATTAGCGTCGAACGGCGACAGGTCAGTGATATTGGTGTTCTTTTTTCATATTCACTTACAAGAAGCAATTGTCTTTTTGCTAGCTTGTTATTTGTTTCTTCTCACCGATACTTTTTGTTTGAAATTAACTGTTAAGATTATGAAATATTGCAAGTTATTGGTTTACTGCTTGCAGGCTTTGTACCATTCGAACCGTTGGTGACTCGGCAATAACTGCATTCCTGGTGCATGAATGTGAAGGTTCACGCGTAAATTCAAGACCGAGGAGATTTTTGTTCACTGGAACTTCCAATGGTTCCGTACAAGTACATACTAGTTCTGATTTTATTGTTGGAATGAATTATCATCTTGAATTAGATGCAACCAATGAGAATGATGTTTATTCTATAGAACCTTCACATTTATTTCAGATGTGGGACTTAACGACAGCTCTGGATCAGTACCATGCTAATTTATCATTTCCAAATCTTTCTCTAGGTAATCAGGCAAGTGCAACTGAGAAAACAGCTGGTACTGTATCCACAACTACTACAGCATCTACTAATGCGAATGCTATGCCATTTGCAAATCGAGTTACTGATACTGTACGGCAGGTCTGCACTTCATTTATAAAAAAAGTTCGTTTAGAGCTGAAAAGTAAATTTTATAATGATTGAGTATACAACATATTTCACTCATAATTTGTTGTAAATTAATAATTTATCAGGTGACACTAATACCAGATTATTATAGTTGACGTGATGCACTTTGTAAATATATGTATCTTTAAGGTGTTTATTGGCGAATACTTTGTGTATTGCATATTTATTTCCGTTTTTTAAAACTTAAGTTCCAAAAAATTCGAGAATTTCGTTAATTTGCTAAGTGATTATTTCTTGAAATTTAAAATTCTGGTTTTTCAGGGACCAACTCCCGACGAACTTCTCCGTTTAATTGATGGTTGTGAGATTTGTTGCGCTAGCCTGAGCACGACACCTTCAGGCACACCACGTGCATCCTGCGTACATTTATCCGAATTGGATTGTCAACGCCAGTGCTAGTAGTAATTTTGCTGTTTGTCATCAACAAGCGTACAGAAACTTGTCTTTCTCATTTTTCTGTGATGCAATTATTAGTATTTAATTTAAATAAACCATTCTTTTTATATTGTTCTGGTTTATTGATTATGAAAAAAAATTTATATTTTTAATTGATTTGTTTATGTATAAATTTCTACAAATCTGCGCTCTACCAAATAAATTTGATGGTTTCATTTTAAAATAACCAAAGACGATGGATGTGCATTTCAATTGAATATCGAAGCTAACAGAATGTGTTCGCCTTATGGATTATTGGTTCTAGAATTGTGGTAACATACTTAGCATTTGAAATAAAATTTGGTATGCATAATGAAAATCATGGTGATTAAAAAAATATATGTCTTATTGTAAACTTTAAGACTATCACGGTTATCATTATTATGGTACTCAACCTCACCGTGTACCCTAATTGTAACCATTCTCTTATTTTTGTCATTACTTTAATGAATGCAAATTACTTTCTAAAAGTTTTTGACAGTTATTGTGATAGCACATAATCATTAAGCTTCATTCATTATATAATATTATTTGTAGTTCGTTAAATGTAGCCGTCCGCTATTTTTACATTTCATCCTTTGTTTTCAAGTTTCGATGACCTTCAAATTTTCTATTAACTCTGTCACCGGTCTGCTATTTTACTTGTTAAAAATATTACGGGATGATTTGCGAAGCTTTTTTTCCAAATAAAGCTGTATATTGCACTTGCAAAATTTATCTATAATGGGTACCAGAGCAAAAATCTCCATCATAAATTATATCATGGGGTAATTTTTATTGTTTTTGTATTTATTGGACAATGCAGAGTTTACGGAATTTTCATTTTAATTGTAGTAGGAAGATCTATTACTTGAGATTTTAATTATTGTTTTATTAGACTGACAATATGGCTGGTAATTGCGTGATAGATTTCGATCCATATAAAATGTTGGACTTGAAACCAGAATGCACGGATACAGAAATTGTGAAAGCATTCAGGAAAGCTGCCCTGAAATGGCATCCCGACAAAAACCCTGATCGTAAGCAAGCAGGTATTTTTAACTGTTTCATTGGTTCCAGACAAGCCTAGAGATATTGTTTTAAGGATTTTGTTTTTTTTTTAACGGTTTTCTTTTTAGCGCAAGAGATGTTCCTGAAGATATCTAAGGCTTTTGAATTGTTATCGGATGCAGCTGCTCGAGCTGCTTACGACCATGTGCTGGCTACTAGAACGGCACGTGCTGTTTATGTACAGAGAAGACAGAAGAATGAAAGCGAGAAACGACGGAAATTACGTGAAGAGCTTGAAAGGCGCGAAGCAAATGTATTAAATGTTCAGCAAGATGAAGAAAAGGCCAGAAAAGAGCTTGAAAAGGAGGTATCTTGAGATTTGTATCTTTTTTACTAATTTGGCGAGTAATTCTTAATGTATATTATTACTTGCGGGAAAATCGTGAATTGCATTCCATTTTTTTAAAAAGAAAAAAATTCCAGATTCAGCGTCTGCGAAAAGAGGGTTCAAAACTATTACAGCGTGAAAGAGAAAATATCGAACGAGAAATTTGTAAAAATGCGGCTATGGAAGAGCAGAGCGGTGATAAGCGTAATCTTTTAATGCCACGTTTATCTGAGGTTTTCTTCGAATAATATTTTGTCAAACGAAATTGGAATTTGCAGAAAATCTTTTGTGTTTGCAGGGCTGCTAGCCCGATACAAAGTAAGATGGGGACGGGAAGGTGATCGATGTGATTATGATGGAGATGATCTTAGAAAATTATTCTCTAAGGTAAATTGTTTTTTAAAAATTATTTGGCTTGATTCTTTCAGTCATTCGGCGAAAGGAAAATTTTTTTTTTGGTACAGTCAAAGTTTAATTCAAATCGGTTAACTTAGTATTGCTTGACTTCTTGACCATTGAATGTTAGAAAGTATATTTCGTGCTATTTCAGTATGGACACGTTTCTGATATAATTTCAAGCGGTAACAAAGGCATGGCAATTTTGGAGTTTGACGAATTATTGGACATAGTAAGTATTGTAGATGGACATGCTTGTCTAATCCTTTCTCTCTAATAAAGGTTATTAATATATTCAAAATTTTGTAGAAATATTCGGGATTTTGTTTGATTTCATCATTCTACATTCACACTTCTATTATTAGGATGGAGTTGAAAAGGAAATTGGAAAACCAGATGTGCCGATTACTGTGACATGTTTGCTAAAACCACCTACTTTCAAGACACAGTCAAATAGATCAACAGGTAAGACTTGTTTTTTTTTTGCTTAAAATTTTGATTGTGCGCTACTTTTTTATTATTAGGATGAACAAAAAAAAAAATTGTCCAGTAAATAAGCTTGTATCCAAAAAGTGGAACGGTTATAAAATATTATATTGCAGAACGACCGATGACATCAGTTGAATTCGCCGATTTTGAATCTGAAGTTCTAGCGACGATGATGGCCGGGTCGAAGCGGAAAGCTAATGATGGAGAAAGCAAGTTTGATAACCTATGATCCAAATTTTCGGTTCTTTGATGAAAAATATGATGAATATCGCTTTTGGAAAATGTTTTTTTACACGTTTGAAATGATCAAATTAAAATTAGGAAATATGAAGATCGGATGTATTTAGACTGATTTGTGCTGTTTCTACCATGATCAAAAAGCATTTTTTGAATTTCTAGAAAAAAATGCTATATTTGCAGCTAGCAAACAAAAAAGCGATGTATTGATCAAATTCCATTTAATAGATTGTTATATTAAGGATGTCTTTAGGATGATAAGAACTTAGTTCACGGATTTTCTTCAAAAAGAAAAAGATACTATTTGTTTATACAATTTAAAATAAGCATTTACAAATAATCCATTCTTTACCGCTCCAGTTATGAATTTTCGATTCTAAATTGATAGCAGTATCTTTTCTATTAGTTTAACTCTTGCAGTATGCGATATTAAATACGTGGAATTTATGATTGGTTTATTTCGCGAAATTTTTTATATTTTTTTGTAAATATTTGATTGTTTTATGTATAGTTAATATTTCATTTCATACCTCGCGCGATGAGCGATGAGTTCATCGGATATTCGATAACCTCGATGTGATATTTTCCATTCCGGCACAGCAATGGTAAATGAGATTGCAGTCTTGTGTGTCGCAGTAAATTTTTTATGCTTTTTTTTTACACATTCATTATTTATTAAAAATTAAAAAAAAATCATTAAAAATGTTGGCTGATACCTGTAGAAAGGACCTGTTTGTCTGCTCTGAAAATAGGTTTTGCCATGACATATTGGACCTGATGCTTTTTGTGAACTTTTAATTAATCTTCATCCTCTCGTATCAGTTGAAGATTTAAAGCGGGGAACTTATTTATCTTTATTAATTTTCAACGTTTCAACTTTATTTATGTTTGTTTCAATTGCTTAATTTTGGCTTTCCAAAATATTAGGTTATTTTTATCAGAGTATTACAGGAAATAGTTATATCGGAATCATGCAATCAAATTTTGAAGTTATAGATGAATAATTTTAATATATACATTGATCAATTTATTGAATAACCTACTGCATAAGACAAGGGAACGATACGCTCGTGAATTATTACGTATATATTCGCTGAATTGTTTTGCTTAATTTAATATGGTTTGAATGATTTACGGGATAATATCAGAATATCGTTTAGTTTTGAAGTGATAAACAACTTATGAAATGTTTTATACTCGGAATTGTCATGTAATTGAAATGATTTTTGATTTTCTTTTTATTTTAAAGAAGTAAAAATGACTAGATGTAATATTAAAAATTAGTTTGAAATCGTACTATTCCAAATTGTCACAGTATAACAGAGTTTTATTTATTGCACATATATTGCATAGTGAGAATCATTTAAGTGGGTCAAAATAACAAAGCAGTGACTGCAGCGAAAACAAATTCATCATTTACTGATTAAAGCATAAATTGATTTAAAATCTGGAAATATCTTGGTTCCGCATGAAAAGAAATTGAATTCGAGAATTTAAGATGTATCTCTGAATTCGATTCTCTTTTTCTTCCGAGGGCAAGTTCTTTTTCGGT